ATGGATTACCCGAACCATTATAAAGACTCCATTCGTGGTACGAACAGGGGACCCCCCAGAGCTTGGCGTGTGCCGCCACTTAACCCCGTCACCCCGCAAACTACCGAACAGTCGACCACCCGGCCAGCGGCGTGTGGCAGCCATTAACCACCCAGGTGGCTGCGGTTTGCGGTTAACCACAACTTAATTGATAGGCCTGGGGGCATCGTCGTTTGCATCAAAAATACCGAATGGGATCTACCGAACTACCAACCGAACGACGACCCCCTACAGCGGGCCGCGTGGCGATCATTAACTTGTGGTTTCTGTGGTTAACCGCAGGTCAAGTACCCTTCTACCAGGTGGTCCTCGTTCACGTACCGAACGAGTCCCACTACCAGACAGACAGCGGGACTTCGCATGAACTGATACCCGAGTCTAGTTCCACGAGTTAGAAGCGAGGTCCCGTTGCCCGCCAAACCATCAGAAAACATGGCCGCCAACAGAGACTAACAATCCAAAATGCCGAACGGACTTTATACGGCAGCAACCGTCCGTTCTGTTCGTGGGATTTAAGCGCCATTCGCCTGTTTAATGCATACGAACGCGAGCCTTTAGATGAGTGGTAGAATGAGTGGTTTCCCTATTAATGTAAAAGTTATAGATTTTCATGCAGTTTTCTGGGACATAATAAAACGTGGTCTTTTGTGCGCTTGGAGATAATTAGATTGTAAAACCGTTGGCCTCATTATCTCCAAGCTGGGCGGGTACTAATTCAAATAATACACTGTGTTGTGATTGTGATATTTGTCTGTACTGTACCTGTATTCCATCAGGTCCACAGGGGGCTGTCCTTGGACCTGAGGAATCACATAAATTGCCATGCTATGTACCAGTAAAGCCAGTTCGTTTTGACCCTCAACTTGCAGCCTCGACAAATGTTGTAGGGATCCGGGATATTGATGCTTATATCGTGCTTGGGGATATTCTACATTTGCAGCTTACTACCGAAAGACCTCCATTCGACTCTCTGCAGCGGGAACCAGGACATCCAAGCGATCAACCCTCCTGCTAGACCGGGGGCAATCGTAACAGCCTGCTAACGGCACATCATGCCCAATCCGCAGAATCTCCTGCCAGTATTTTGCAGGTACCACTAGCTGTTTATTCTGCGGAGGGGTACTCGGTTTCTGGGACGGTTTCGGGATCCTGTACAGCCTATCCCCCACCCATCTACCCCTTCTCCCCCAGAATCGTCCCTGGCCCTTTACTTTGCTAACGTCAGGTCTTCCCTAGTTTCCTTCCCGTACATCTCTGGGGTATCCCAGCCTAAAGGGGCCTGGTCTAAGGTACAAGTCGGGGTAGAGAGTCTTACCTGGGTCTCAGCAGCAGGTGGGCCAGTCTCGGCGGCACGAGTCTGGGCACGGGTCGTGACAGCGTCCACTTCAGCGGGACCCATGGGAGCGAAGGCTGAAACAAGGGGCGCCAATTCATTGCCAAGGAGGACATCTGCTGGTAAGTCCTTCATGACCCCCACATTCACATGTCTAGTGCCCACTCCCCAATCCAAATGTACCCAGGCAATCGGTAGACGAAACACGGCACCCCCGGCTACTCGCACTGCGACCGTGTCTCCGGTATGTTGGGCTTCGGATACCAGGTGCTTCTGAAGCAAAGTCATGGTTGCACCGGTATCCCGTAGACCACTGACCTCCTTCCCATTGACCTTTACACATTGCCGGTGGTGCTGTCTGTTGTCCCGGTGGGCAACTTGAACAGGGTCTGCCTCCCTTTACACACTCCAGGCCCCCTTTTAGAGGTCTTCTCCTTTTACTGATTTATTTAACCAATCATTGTTAACAGAAGTAGTCCAAGAAGACTGGAAATTAGCAAATGTTTTGGCAATTCACAAGAAAGGTAGTAGGAAGGAATCAGGCATCTAAAGGCCAGTAAGCCTTACTTCAGTAGTGTAGAATGTAAAAGAAACCAAGTTAAAGGATAGGATTGTAGAACACCTAAAATCACATGGATCTTATTGATATTTTTGATTGGGTAACTGATTCCTCTTTTGCAACTGCCATCAAAACAAAACACTAAGCCCTCAGTGAGAACTATCCTAACAACCTACTTTTCTACTCAGCCCTTACCTTTTGTGTCACTATACACCATTAATTCTAGCATGTAAGCTCATTGAGCAGGGCCCTCAATCCCTCATGCATATCACATGGTCATCCAACCAACATTCTCTTTGCCATTTACATTCCTTCCTAAATGTCTGTGCGTTCCACACATTGCAATCTCAAGTCCAACATTGTTGTGTATCCCGCAAAGGTCATTTACAGGTTCCATTCTTTATCATATTTATGGCTCCATTTTTTCATTTTGCTTCAAAATCCCGCAATATTGATATATATATATATATATATTTCTCTTCCACAGCCCTTATTATTACTTTAATAACAAAGTTCATACATGATTATTACATCTACAATGGATTTAAAAATGGTAACAACCAATTGTAGACTTACACCTTCTTTCGAATATAGTAGATATTATTACCCATTACTTTTAAAAAAAAGGTTTATTGTAAATATAACGCTGTAGTATACCATGACATTGGATCGAATTACATAGGGGTTAGTTGCGATTACATAGATCAGGAGTAAGATGGAGAGTGGTTACATGGTGAGACATTACATCCCAGGTATGGTTTTCAGATATGTATTACATAATAGCAGAGTATTAGAGTCACAAAAATGAGTCATATAGTGCATAAGACATTCTGGAAGTTGTGTTTTGCGTAGGTATCTGAGCATAGCTGGTGTATTTTATAAAACAACCACAAATAAATGCTTTGAGGCCAGCCAATTTGGGTCCAGGGGTGAGTCAGGGACTTTATTGTGCTTAAAGTAGTTTTGACAATCTTGAGAAATGTGTGATACGATGAAGGGGTCAGTCAAAAGGAATTCATTTTGTTTCCAGGTACTCTGACCACGGTTAGGGAAATGTTCCTTAATAGATAAGGTGATCAGGGTGTGGTCTGACCAGGACATCGATAAATAGATATTATGTGCTGCAGTGTGGTGAGTGATGCACCAGGTGTCGACAAAGTTATGGGTTATGAGTATGTGAACTGCCATGCCTTGACGTGGAAGGTGAGCTTACATTGAATGGCCATTGGAGTTACTAAATAAACCTCCAATTATTTAAATATATATATACAGGGATTTGGACTAGTGCGCAGGTAACTTTTTTGTTTTTTTATTGTATGTATTGGGGCTGATGTGTGCAATGGTCGCTGCTGCCGCCCAAGAGTAGTGAGATCTTGTGCACAGGATTTATTTTTGTGCATTTGTATAATCATTTATTAACAAGATCGACCCAAATGGTAGAGGAAACCTCCAGAGTGCTGCAATTCCTCCTCAAGTTGTGGAAGCCATGCGGTCCAGAAGCATGTGTGAAGATCATGGCGCTGTAACTTTGTCTTTTGAGGAGTTTCTTTAGCACAGATTTGTTGGATGAGTTTGGTGGATTGTCTAAGTGATAGGGGTATTGCAACCTGGAGCAGTCTCCTACCATCTTCAGGCGTGAATATGGGTTTATCATTTCAGTTCCGTTTAACAAGCAACTTCTCCCTATTTGTATTGTATATTTCCTGCATGTAGCACTGTTGTAATAGGTGCAAACATGCGCTGCTTACACATAATCACCATTGGCGTGGGCCGGGCTCAGGGGTTGCCACCTTCCATAGTGGGTCCTCAGAGAAGGGGGTTGCTACTGGGCAGTATATTTGTAATCGGCAGACATTTTGTGCTAAAATAGAAATTAAAAGTGTCTACTGCCAGCCACACTTAAAACAAAGCTGACTCAATTTTGGTATCTTCAGGCTAAGAAGGACCCATCATTTCTTGCTTTCTGTAACTCCAGCCATTCAAGCCTGAGCTAAGCAATGCGTTATATAAACAAAGCAAGTGATAAGGAATGAAGTCTCACAGCAAGGATGGGGTGGAATACAACCCAGAGAGACAAGTATACATTATTATATATATATATATATAAATATATATATATATACACACACATCTACCCACTATACACTTAATAACTATTATATTATATACATATAATTAGTATTACATTAATAATATAGACTATTTATTGATAAATATCAATGACAAATATCATATTATTTAATAAATGTTAGTTGAATAGAAATAATCTTACACACAGCTTCACACAAGAAGACCAGAAAGCCAGACACTAGTGACAGATAACACCTATTAATTCATTTTACTTTCGGAATCTTACAACGTCCCATTGTAAGTAAAAGGGTGAAATTAAGGTTAGGAGGTGTCAATTCTAGAATTAAGATGGAAATTGCTGCCACAAAACGGGGTAAATCCTTTGAACTGGCAGCAAAATTGAGTTATAATAACCATTATAGATAAGCCAAATTACATCAAAATCATAATCCCATTAAGTTAACTCTTTCCGGGACAAGAAATTTTGGTGATGTAATTGCACCATCTACTGACCAAAACTAGATAATACTAGATTAGGTAGACACCCCTACCTCACGTGACGTTCTGTGCGGCTTCCAATCACTTCCGGGTTCTAACGGGCAGACACTTTCCACTTCACTGCTCCATTGGGTAAGTGCACATTTACATATTTTTGTATTTAATATATATACACTAGATTGTTATGCATTCAATGATCTTGAAAAAGACCCGGCAGGGTTGAAACGTCGATTGATTTTTGTTGTATACCACACATGGATTAATAAAGCACCATTTTTTCTAATATTTGAAGACCTGTGAGTGCATCTTGACTTTTTCATTTCTATATAATTGACGCCTAAGATTTGCACCCAGGCAAGCAATACACTGCTTTCCCTTTTTTTGGTGTGTGCCAAGCTATTATCTTTTTACATATTTGGGTGGTACGTCCCACCTTCTTGAGCACCCCTATTATTTATTACCTCTATTTTTTGTGGATTGGTTCTGCCTCTTTTTTTCAAGCTGATACAGCATTAGGATTAGCAAGATCAGGAGCTCTAGCGGATACGGCTGAAACATTATCCATCAGTGATGAACATGCTTTATCTGTTTTATGGCCTCGTTCTACTAAAGATCTCTCACATACTAATACACCTAAAGAATTATACAATGATTTACTTAAGTTGAAAAGACGTGAGATTGACCTGGACTTGCACGGAGTTTTCATATCAGATTATTATCGTGCCAAAAGAATCCCTAGGGGATTCAGAAACGCCCCCACTATTGGGAGACAAAATCCAGATTTTTGCAAACGCTGGATCAATATTGCAAACAAGTGCTCACTAGATTGGATGGTCATAGTAGTAGAGGAGGTCGGGAAGGAGTTAATCCAGGTGAAGAAATCCATTCAGGAATTTGAAGCAACTAATATCACTTCTTTACAAGCACCAACAGCAAATGAGATGTTGATTAAATTACAAGATGACATTCATAAATATCAGAATGATTTAATCCGTTTAAAAAAACAAAAATTAAGTAAAGTTAACCACGACTATACACATCATCAGGTGTATAGATGGCTTAGTGGTATGGGCATGAACACTAGGAATGCTCCTCCCAGATTTAGACCTCGTATCTCTAGACCCTCCTTACAGACGATTGACATCAGTTCAGGGGAATCGGCTTCCGATGCAGAGTCCAAAGACACTAGACATCAGTCCAGACCTGAACCTTTTTTAGGAGTGGGCATCCATCATCAGGACCCTCCAGGCATGAGTACAGAAGCCAGCGGCACAGAAAAAAGAGACCACCCAGGCGAGGGAAAAAGGGTCACCAGATATGCCAACACAGCTGCAAAACCCCCATCACAGAAGAGACGTCCGTAGTATTTAACCTTTCAGACAAATTACTGACTGAAGCACATCTTAGTCTTCTTAGTAAAGGTTTAACGTTTATTCCTGTTAAAAAACCTCAGGCATTTTCTGTTGAAATTGATATGTATAAATTACAACGCACTCTGTATGCTAATGAATACAGAAAAGAAAGCTCTACATATCAACCAAGTCCTTTTATCATCAAAGAGAAGAAAGATATTAAATCTAATAATATGACTATCAAAACTTTTGTACAGACCATACACAAGGATGCGTTAAAGATTATAAAAAAAACATCCAAATACAGACCTAATTTAACTCCGGATGAAAAAGCTGCACTCCAAGATCTTCGAGAAGATACTAATATTGTCATTCACCCTGCAGACAAGGGTGGAGGTGTTGTGATCCAATCTTATCAACAATATAAATGTGAAATTATGCGTCAGTTGAATGACACATCTACATACCTGAGACTTACTTATGATCCTGTACAGTCATTCCAAAAAAAGATCCAGAAACTCATTGAAATTGGCTTACAAGCTGGTTATGTGGATTCAAATACAGCAAAGTACCTATATGTCACTCATCCTATACATCCGGTGTTATACACTTTACCTAAGATCCACAAATCCAGTAAAAACCTGCGTGGATGACCCATAGTGTCGGCTAGGGGTGGTCTTTTAGAACCAATCGCCAAATACGTGGATTACTATTTACAAGTTTGTGTCAAAGAGTTACCATTTTGCCTTAGGGATACTCAGGATTTCCTTGATCAACTTAGAGATCTTGAAAAGGATACACAGCGCAAGTTTATATTTGCTACTTTGGATGTACAAAACCTATACACGGCAATACCCCAGGTAGAAGGTATAGAAGCCGTCCGGATGACGCTCTCCAAATCCTTGGTGTATAAAGGCCCGCCTATTGAATTTATTTTAGAATTACTCACAATTGCATTGTCTTGTAATTATTTCAAATTTGAAGGCAACTTCTTTTTGCAAACATCAGGGAATGCTATGGGGGCGGCTATGGCTCCCTCATATGCTAACATCTTTATGTCATGGTTTGAACAACAATATATTTTTACAATATATGCGAAGAAAATATTAAAATATTTCCGATTTGTGGATGACATCCTTCTCTTGTGGACTACTTCACAGCAGGAATTAGAAGAAATGGTACAACAATTGAATATGCTACCGACTACAATAAAATTCACTCTGAATTATAACTGTGATCAAATTCATTTTTTGGACATTCTATTATATAAGAAAACAGGCGAAATCGGTTATACCTTACATCGAAAAGAAACTGATAGAAACACAATTTTATCAGCTACTAGTTTTCATCCTCAACATTTAAAGGACTCCCTCCCTATTTCGCAGTTCCTTAGAGTTCTACGCTATAATAGTGATATACCTCAAATGAATCTTCAATTGGCTGAAATGAAGCAACGTTTTATTGATAGGGGTTATGCCCCACAAATATTGGATACTGCGGAACAGAGAGCTAGAGAACACATTTGTTCAGAGAAAAACATCAAATCTATAAAGACACAGCTTTTTCTACCTATGACTTACCATACAGCAACAGTAAAAATAAAAAACACTATACAAAGACATTGGGATATGATCCAAGCAGACAATAATCTTCCCTCAATTTTTCAACAACAACCTATGATCAGCTATAAAAGGAATCGAAACCTTAGGGACCTATTGGTCTGCAACGATCCAACACAATGTTACAAGAAAAAAACATGGATTATAAAGAAAGGCTGCTTTAAATGTACTGGATGTGTGACCTGTAGCCACATGCTAACTGGTACCTCCTTTGCCCATCCGCATACGGGCAAACGAATACCGATCAGTCATCATATTACTTGTACCACAGACCATGTCATCTACATGGTGACTTGTCCATGTGGACTATCTTATGTAGGCAAGACCGATCTCACTTTACGTGATAGGATCAGAGGACATCAATCTGGGATCATGACGGCATACCGTGACCATACTACTGAAAAACCAGTGGCCAAACATTTTTTGGCTATGCAACACCATCTACCCACGCTTACATTTATCGGTATTGATCATGTTCCACCGCTGGATCGAGGGGGAGACAGATCCAAAACTCTCTTACAGAGAGAGGCTTATTGGATCTATCATTTGGATACAGTAACCCCTAGAGGGTTAAATGAAAATATTGTGTACTCTATGTTTTTGTGATTATAGTTTCTTATCCAGCAGTAGCATTGGTAATTTTACTAGTTCTACGGCAATATAGTGATATTACACAAAAAATTTCCCTTTACTATTGTGATAAAGATTCTAAGATTTAGTATGTTTAGTGATTCATCGTAGATATATCTTTTGACTCCTATCTAGATGTGCTGTTTTTCTACTTATTTGATGTACCTATATGCCATTAGCTCCCTGACGTAGTTATGTTTATTACATAGGACATGATGCCTTTGTGTCAATGTTTCATTTTTTCAGGCCAGTAATTTGTATATGTATTGTCTTTTATTTTGTGACAGAGTATGTCCGTATAGCGCTTTGAGCTCTTTCCTTTTAATTTTCATTAGAGTATCATATTTTCTTGTATATGAGTTATTATCATATATAATAATCTTTTCTTATTCTTTAGGAATTAGAGTATTATCTCTTTTTCTTTTTTTCTTTTTTCTTTTTTAACATATTGTGATATGAATATATTTGAACTCTTGCTTTGTTTTTAACCTATTTGATGCCATGATTTAGATTTGATGTAATACACTGTACATTTTGTGTGTAATAGTTTTTCTCACTCATGTGACACTATCACTTTATTTGCATGTTACTACACTGGCTTTTTCACTTCATTTATATCTATTTCTGGCATCAGTGATCACTTTATTCTGCTGATAGCTAACACTATCAACTCTCCTTCACAGCAGCTTGTGTTCCTTGCGCTCGGTAAGCGTTTCAGTCTGTTTGTATATTTTCACCATGGCTACCATTCTCCTCCGTCGGACGTCCCGATCACGTGACGTTCCGTGCGGCTTCCAATCACTTCCGGGTTCTAATGGGCAGACACTTTCCACTTCACTGCTCCATTGGGTAAGTGCTCATTTACATATTTTTGTATTTAATATATATACACTAGATTGTCCCATTGTAAGTAAAAGGGTGAAATTAAGGTTAGGAGGAGTCAATTCTAGAATTAAGATGGAAATTGCTGCCACAAAAACGGGGTAAATCCTTTGAACTGGCAGCAAAATTGAGTTATAATAACCATTATAGATAAGCCAAATTACGTCAAAATCATAATCACATTAAGTTAACTCTTTCCGGGACAAGAAATTTTGGTGATGTAATTGCACCATCTACTGACCAAAACTAGATAATACTAGATTAGGTAGACACCCCTACCTCACGTGACGTTCTGTGCGGCTTCCAATCACTTCCGGGTTCTAACGGGCAGACACTTTCCACTTCACTGCTCCATTGGGTAAGTGCACATTTACATATTTTTGTATTTAATATATATACACTAGATTGTTATGCATTCAATGATCTTGAAAAAGACCCGGCAGGGTCGAAACGTCGATTGATTTTTGTTGTATACCACACATGGATTAATAAAGCACCATTTTTTCTAATATTTGAAGACCTGTGAGTGCATCTTGACTTTTTCATTTCTATATAATTGACGCCTAAGATTTGCACCCAGGCAAGCAATACACTGCTTTCCCTTTTTTTGGTGTGTGCCAAGCTATTATCTTTTTATATATATATATATATATATATATATATATATATATATATATACACACATCTACCCACTATACACTTAATAACTATTATATTATATACATATAATTAGTATTACATTAATAATATAGACTATTCATTGATAAATATCAATGACAAATATCATATTATTTAATAAATGTTAGTTGAATAGAAATAATCTTACACACAGCTTCACACAAGAAGACCAGAAAGCCAGACACTAGTGACAGATAACACCTATTAATTAATTTTACTTTCGGAATCTTACAACGTCCCATTGTAAGTAAAAGGGTGAAATTAAGGTTAGGAGGTGTCAATTCTAGAATTACGATGGAAATTGCCGCCACAAAAACGGGGTAAATCCTTTGAACTGGCAGCAAAATTGAGTTATAATAACCATTATAGATAAGCCAAATTACGTCAAAATCATAATCACATTAAGTTAACTCTTTCCGGGACAAGAAATTTTGGTGATGTAATTGCGCCATCTACTGACCAAAACTAGATAATACTAGATTAGGTAGACACCCCTCCAGTTCCCTACTGGCCTGATCAACTAATGACATGCAGAAAGTTTGGCCCTTTAAAAAGTAAGAACAAAGGGAAGAAAGGGCACACAGATTCAGGACACACATTGAGGAGACACTCTGGGACTGACACTCAAATCTGACATTCAAAGACTTATACTCTTTGAATATATTTAAACTCTCTTGAAACAACTTAAGAAACAATTTCCTGGGACTATCTGCTCATCTGATAAGAACATCTACAACATAACTGGTAATTATTAGTGATGTCGCGAACCCAAAACTTTCGGTTCGCGAACGGCGAACGCGAACTTCCGCAAATGTTCGCGAACCGCGAACCGGGCGAACCGCCATAGACTTCAATGGGTAGGCGAATTTTAAAACACACAGGGACTCTTTCTGGCCACAATAGTGATGGAAAAGTTGTTTCAAGGGGACTAACACCTGGACTGTGGCATGCCGGAGGGGGATCCATGGCAAAACTCCCATGGAAAATTACACAGTTCATGCAGAGTCTGGTCTTAATCCATAAAGGGCAGAAATCACCTAACATTCCTGAATCACAATGGATATGGATTGACACCTGACATATGACATATTGACACCTTGACATATGGATTGACACCTGTCCTCAGAGACCCTGATACACACTGACACAGAGCAGAATAGGGACTGTTCCTCCTACATAGGGTCACTTGGCAGATATGGATTG